ATGTCACTTAGTATATTACCTTCAACGCGTCTGTCTCTGTCGGGACTCACTTCCTCTACATCAAAATAAATGGTTTACTATTTTGAAACTTCACTCCGACTTTAGATTTTATCAGGACCAGCTCACGAATATTTTGGCGCCCTAGGCGAGAGAGTTACTACTTCCACTAAAATTGTGCACTGATTTGTTTCAACGTTTGTTTTTATTGTGAACGCAGTGGAACATTACTTTCAGTTTTTTACACCGAAGTAGCCCCGAAGGCCTAAATGCCAGGGCGCCGTGGCTGCTATGAGGAGCTTTAATAAACTTGGTTAATCCAATTTTTGAACTGCCTAAAGTTAGTAGAACTGGGAAAAGATTCCTCATGTGGATTATTTCGCAGTCTCGATACTGTAGGGGCAAACCAGCGGTCGTATCGGTTCTGGATGTAAGTAGTTCGACACTGTTAGGATGGGAGGTCGATGTCAGGCGGGTTTTTCTGGCATGCGCATCACACCGCGGCATAATGGAGGAAAAGAAGCGGTAGAAGAGAGTTAAATCGCCGACGGCCCGTCGCCGTCACACATAGGGGTATTTAACCTATTTAGCTGGCCAAAACACAATTTTGTTAATCCATTCGCATTTTAGGATAAGTACTACCCCAGCAAGCTAAATAATTTTAATGGATTCTGAAAATTCAGGTAAGACTGCATATAATGGGAGATTCAAATTGAGTTTCCACATTACAAATAATTTTTTTTGGAAACGCTGCTGAATTTGTCAACGACAACGTGCCATTTCTAACGTCAAAATATAAACAAAACAGTCTTGAAGGAATATGCGACCGAACAACGTGTTAAAATTATCCAAGCCTATAATGAAAACGGCCGATCAAGGAAGAATACATTTCGTGCTTTACGTGAATTTTTTGGCGCACAAAATCGGCCTTATGAGAGGACAGTTTAGAATTTGGTGCAAAACTTCGAGCAAACTGGATCCGTAGCTAACTAGCTAACAACAAAACCTCTAGGCGTGCTCGTAGAGGTCGCTCCTAACACAATATTGCTATTTTTATCGAAAGTGTGGCCGAAAATCCAAGAACCTCGATTCGTCATCGATCGCAGCAACTGGACCTTACTTATTCCACTATACAGCGGATTTTAACAAAAGATTTGAAGTTACACCCATACAGAGACCAAATAACACAGGAATTGGAGCCTAGGTCACACATCAGGAGAAACGATATAACTACTGCGCGGCAAGTTTCCAGGTCGCGTTATTTCACGTAACAGCGATATCAATTGGCCGCCGCGACCCTGTGATTTAACTCCCTTAGATTATTTTCTTTAGGGTATTTTAAGAGCAAAGTATACAAGAATAACCCGAACACAATTGCGGAGCTGAAACAGGAGATCAGACGCGAAATTACCAACATAGGACCTGATTTGTGTCACGGAGTAGTCGAAAATTTCTCGAAACGGATTACGTCATGCCACATGAGCCGCGGCCGTCATTTACTTGATATCATCTTTCAAGCATAATTGTAATGAACTGCCCTGAAAGGACAAATGCATACTTTTTTATAATTTTTAATTTCTTCTTTTTTTTAAATACTTTTAATGTGGAAACCCAATTTGAATCACCCTATATTTTAAGTAATCGTATTTTTTATCATAACTTTATTAACAATAAGAGCATTAGGAATAATACCTTTTATTTAAACAGTTTTTAGCGTCTATATTATAACCAGGAAAACAAAGAAAAGCAACAATACAAGAAGCATTTAGAAGGGAAACTGGTTTAATAGTAGACGTGCCAAAAGTTGGTTTTGGAAACACTAATGACGGTAATACCAGCAGAAGATCCTTTGCCAAGCCACAACTAGCAGCCGACATAACAGGGGTCAATTTCGAACTTATTTACAGACTCAAAGTAATCTTAGAGGTTATATCAAGTGGTCATAAGGTCAACTGCGAAAAATTTTCAGACTATGGTTTTCAAACTGCTAAACTTTACATTAAACTATATCCATGGCAGCCTATGTTACCTATACGTACAATGAATAAAATCCGTGTTCATGGTGCAACTGTAATGGAAAATGCATTATTACCTATCGGTTTGCTATCAGAAGTAGAAGTACGAAATTAGCATTTCAGGCTGCACCGTCAAAACTTTGCTAGGAAATTTTCAAGGGAGGCATGCAACCTTAGTGTATTCAACAGGTTGTTGCTAAGCTCGGTCCTCTCTTGAGTAGTATAAGGCCAAAGCCGAAAAATACAACTGAACCATACTCAAAAGAAGCCATTGATATGTTGCTTCCAGCTGATCCTAACCCGATAAATGATTCGGACTCTGAAGAATCCACGGAAGAAGCAGAAGAGGAATCTGATGAAAAATCGTGGCACTCGTCGCTGTAATTATCTTAATAATTGTATATCTATATTTTTTCCATTAAATAAAATTCGAATTTACTGTATTCTAACTGTATATAACTATTTTATTTATATAACTCAATTATACACAAAATATAACGCATTCAATAATGTTCACCAAAGAAATAATTTTGGCCAGCCAAATCGGTCAAATGTGGCGTCGGTGCGAAAGGGTTCCGAGATTGTCCGTTAGAGAAGATTAATCGATCAATCGTATAGCCCTCCTCTGTACAGCATCAAGCATCGATAATGTAGTCGGGGCGGCATCTCCCCAAACATGTGAGCAATGCTCGAGGCTAGGGTATCTGAGCCTTGTACAGAGTGAGGAAGTTATGTAAGTAAAAGTGCATCTTATCCCTAAACAAATAGCCCAGCTTTTTCAAACCAGCTGCTGCTATTGACAAGAAGTGTTCATGCCAGATCAAGTCCTTGGTGATCTGGACTCCGACCAGCCGAAATGCGCGGTTATTTGGTAGATCCCGGCCATCCATCGAAACCGGATGAGCGCTAGGACGCTTCGTGTTCGTGAAGGTACAATAGTGTGTTTTGGAAGCATTAAACTGTACGAGATTGCGGCCCCAAGCAGTTATAACCTCCAGGTCTCTCGTCTTATTTTTTTCTCCAGCTCACTGGCAGAGATCGATTTGTCACCCTGAATTCTTGCATGTAGAGTGCGGTCATCAGTAGAGCTGTGAATTGGATTGATCGTACAGGAAAGGAGGTCTTTGATATTTAAGAGGCACACGTTGACGTTGAAGGATGAAAAGGAGAACCCGTCAATTACGACGGCTAGAAAGTAAATCAGCCAGGCATCTGCGAAGCTTCTCTGGGCGGCCATAGGATGGAAGTTTATATTTATGCATCTTAATGCATTAGATTTAAAGTAGAAAGTATTCCGACCATGCGCTCATAAAGGGTGGGCCATCTGCTGGTTTATTTTTTAAATTGATATTAAAACTACACTCTTCAATAATATGTAACACTCGATGCTTCATTCAAAAGAATACACTTTCTGATTATTTATGAAAAACAATTTCAGTTTGTGGGTCTATTTCATCAACAGCTCGACGGATATTGTCCTTAAGAACATCAATTGTTTGAGGATCGTTAATGTAACAGCGGTCCTTAACAGTACCCCATAGGAAGTAATCCATGGGCGTCAAATCACAGCTGCCGGCTGGCCAGGGAACGTTTTCAAAACGGCTGATAACGGCGTAACCGAACTTGGTCTGTAAAAGATCGATTGTTTCACGGCTGGGGTGGCATGTTGCGCCATCCTGCTGGAACCAGAGATTGTGCAAGTGCATGTCATCTAATAGTGGCCACAAAAAACTCCCCAACACGTCTCTATAGAGTTCACCGTTTACCGTCACGCTGTTACCATCTTCATCTTGAAAAAAGTAGGGACCAATAATCCCACCACTCCAAGCCACACCAAACAGTTACTCTTTTTGGATGCATCGGTTTTTCTATGACGACTGTGGAATTTTAGAATCCCAAATCCTACAGTTCTGCTTGTTAACGAAACCTCCCAGATGGAAATGGACTTCGTCGCGGATGGTCATTTTCTTTCAACTCTTGCACAAGTTGCACCTTGTAAGGGAATAATCCCAGGTCGTTATGCAATATTCTCCGCACAGAAGTGCAACTGATGCCCACTTGTTGTGCTCTGTGACGAGTTGACATTCTTGCGTTTTCACGCACACTCTGGGCAACAGCAGCCATGTTTTCGGCTGTACGTACGGGTTGAACACGCTCATACCTTCTGTTATTCGCAAGCAGGCCAGTTTCACAAACCTTCTTCACGAACTTTCATATACCAGTCGCGGACGGAGCATCATTCCGACCAAATAGTCTTCTTTGAAGTTGAGTCATTAATTTTCAGATAATGATTGTAGAAGGAAGATAACCCAAAATATGTGTGTAAAAATAAAAAAAAATAAAAAAATGTTACCTTGTTTTATAAAGAATCCTCCCGACAAGTATTTCAGTGCCGACCTGTATTTGATCGTGCGGTCTTGGAGCACCGGCATGCCCTCCCCTGTGAGGTCTTAAGTCACCTGATTCACGAGCCCTTTGTACTACATGGATGCACTCAATTGGGAAACCGATCCGCATAAATCCGTGATGCCGCGGCAGCATTTTGTAAAGACTCCCCCCCTCCGTAAATAAGAATCATGTCCAGCATTTTTTATTTCGTTTGAGCCACGTAACAAACACCACTATTCACTCACGCGTTACCGACTGACACATTGACTAAATACAACTGAATAAAATTGTAGTAAAAACATCGTGATAAGCGTTTCAAATTCTTTCGCTTTTTTGTTTCCGATGCGATGAACCGATAAGGCGGATTATATCCGTTGTTGCCAAACACGAGCACATAATATTATTATTGAGACAGGGCGGTACTCAAACTTCTAAAGGGCTATAACTTTGTTACTTTAATTTTACCAGAAAAATGTTAAAGGAAAAAAACATTTCTTTAGATCAGATCTACTCAATGTTAAAATAAATGACTCAACTTCGAAGTCACCCTGTATATATCTGTCAATATGTTGAGCAAGGAAGTTTTACCAACTGTCAAAAAACAAAATGATGGCCCACCCTTTATAAAAAATCATAAAATCAATATTTGAAAATAGGTGAATTATTGACAAATATTGCAAAGTTTTACAAAACAATATGTAACCAAAATAAAGAGAAAGGTGTTGATGAAACTTTAAAATATATACGTTCTGAAATACTGAAATGCAAAAAAAAAACCTTATAAACCCTGATCCTTTCTAGCAGCTTCAAGACATAGTTTAATAACATTATTGATGATTGAAAATTCTATATGCTCCTCATTTGGTTTTTTTCTTTATTTCAGGTGACACTCTGAGCGGCGTCTGCTACGTAGGTATCTGGAACATAGATGCCATGCGTTCCTTTGTTCTGATCCCCCTGATCGTCTACTTGGTATTCGGAACCATCTTCCTTTCCTCAGGGTTCGTCTCTCTCTTCCGCATCCGCACGGTGATGAAGCACGACGGTACCAAAACGGACAAGCTGGAGAAGCTAATGATCAGGATTGGAGTGTTCTCGGTGCTGTATACACTTCCAGCGCTGATTGTCATTTCCTGTCTCATCTACGAACACACGCATTTCGATGGGTGGATGGCGACGTGGCACAAGTGAGTATAATTTTTGGATTTTTCTATTCTCTAGCAGATCCAGGAAAACTTCCTCTGCTCCAAGTTCAATGCGCTTAGAACCACAGGAGCCACAATTTAAATATTGCTCTGCAAAGTCTTATAATAAGTCGACGTTTTCTATGAGCAATTTTAAATTAGGTGCGTAGATTTCGAATACTTTAAACTCTGATGAATGCAATAATTTGATAACAGTTTTCCATTCTCCTTATCATGACTGCCAGGATTGATGAATACGCTCGTGACTGTTTGCTGCTGAACAAGCCAGTGTCTGTATCAGATTCTTCTTGTTGCATTTCTGTTCTCTCTATACTATATAAATTATTTTTATATTTCTTAAAATGTATTTCACCAAACTCGAAATCTAAGCAGCAACATTTTTTTGTATTGTATCCAGTTTGATAAGTATCGCGAACAACGTTGAAGGTAAAATACGATTCCTGTTCTTTGTTTTGATTATCTCCATATATGAGAATGTCCTCTCGACATCTGCATTGCCTTGTGGCAAATGTTAAAATTATTAGACATACTTTGGAAATACACTTCACAGGTTGCGTACTTACCACCTATGAGTACCACCATCTATACGCGTCTCCGTTGAATAAGAATTACCGACCGGTGGTTACCACGGTCGATTGGAGAGATACCTGTATTTAGATTTGGTTACTAACTGCACTCATTTTTTTTTTCTGGTGAAAATATCCATCTTGTGTACCTAAAATGCAAAATTCCGCTACTTTTAACAAATAATCCAATTCCGCCGTAGCTACGCCGCTACCACTTGAAAATTCCGCTACTTGTGGCAACACCGGGACAAGCTTATGTAGCACTTAGTCCTGTAAGATCTTTAGACGGTATTCGGATTGAAGAACTTGATTGCTCTAAGTTAACAGGAAAAACCCCATGCAATAGTGAAGCTTCAAATAAAATGATTAGATTACGAAATTATTCGTAAGACATTTCAATACCACATGTTCGTAAAAAACTAATTGATAAATAGAACTAAAAAATAGATAATAGTTTAAAAAAACTAAAAAACACCCTTTTATAGCTAACCGAACTAAAAAGTAGGAAATAATTTTTAATTACAAAGAGTTTATATTACAGTAATAGATGGTCGAACAATCAATCATAAATAATGACCTCAAAATAAAATTATAATAAAATTTAAGTTATTATATAACAGAGTAAACAGCGAAATAATTGTAAAGTCTAGTTTAAGGGGATATTCAAAACATGGACACCAAGTTTTTTTATTCAACAAAAAAGAATGAGAAAACGTATTTTTGGGGATTCAATCCAAAGTGTTGGCAGGAACGAAAACACTCTTCATATAGGATTTTTAGGTACTTATGAGAGCTACAAAATGAGACCACACGTAAAAATATACGACCAATAGCAAAAAAGCTATGACCGAAAACCGAGGCCATCTGCAGGCTTTGGCACTTTTTGGTAATGCGACGATGGTTTCTCGTAGATAATTGAAATTATTCATATTCGTTGGATTCGTACATCTAAATATCCACAACAAAATTGGAGTAGATTGGTGAAATATTTTTTGAGAATTTCTAATTGTTTATCCCAAAATACCTGTTTTCCGGCCATCACTACTAGTTTATTGAGCAATATAAAGGGTTAATTTCAAGGGCATTTTATGGCAAAATACACTAGTTTACCTGGCCGATATGAATCGCAAACCATTCCGGAAGAAAAATGTGATTTTTACGCAAAAAAGGATGGGTTTTCTCTTCTAAATAAATTCATACATTTCGTGTTTGTGAGGAATTCGCAACAAAAGATGATAGACACATCCACTTTGTTTTAAATTGTGCTTAGTAACGTATGTTTTTCTAATATCGCCGCGCATTTGTTCAATTACAAATACGAAATTTTTGAATTTGTTTAGAAGAAAAAGCGTTCGTTTTTCGCATAAAAATAGGATTTACCTTTCGGAATGGTTTGTGATTCATATCGGCAAAGTAAACACGTGTATTTTACGATTAAATGATCTTTGAACGAACTCTGTGTATTGCTCGGAAAACAGGTGTTTTGGGATAAGCAATTTGAAATTCTCAAAAAATTGCTTAACCAACATACTTCAATTTTGTTGTTGTTATTTAGAAGTATAAGTCCTACGGATTAGAAGAGTTTCAAGTAGTTACGTGAAATTATCGTCGCATTACCAACAAGTGCCTAAACCTGTATTTTGTCTCGTTTTTCGGCCATAACATTTTTGCTATTAATCGGATCTTTTTACGTGTGGTCTCACTTTGTAGGTCTCATAAATACCTAAAAATCTTAATTTAGAAGTTTTCTCATTCCTGTCAATACTTTCGATTAAATCCCAAAAAACACGTTTTCTCTGTTTGTTGTCAAATAAAAAGTTTTCCCACAAAAATTGGTGTACCCATTTTATGCGTCCATGTTTTAAATACCCCCTTGAACAACTTGCACCAATAAAACCAGACTTTACAGTCCTTTCGGGGAAATTTGCTAATATGATTAGACTACTTACTATACATGGAGCATTTTATATGGACTACTCTTGTACGCCCTGGTATCTTGACATCGTCGGACCCTCTGCAGTTAAAGAGTGTTGCTGGGTAGTTAGTATTGTTGGAGTCACAAACTTATGTGTTTAACAGATGGGTAATACTACCGGGATCCAAAATTTCTGAATAACAAAAAGTATTTCACTGATACAAAAGATGCGACGCTTACAACCGTCTGCCCCCTACAGTGCCCAAGCCCCAATTCGGATAGTGAAAATTTCATCAAAATCTGAGCAGAACATTCTAAGCTATAGCAGGGCCAACAATTAGCGGTCAGACATACCGACTGAAAGTAATGGCATGGCTTTTCGTTATGCCGATGTAGAATAACATCCAAAAAGCATAATAATCATTTTCCAGATTTTTTGCGTAATTACAGATTTTAACTATAGCTTCAACATCGTTGAGTTACTGCAAAAACCAGATAATTCCCAAAGGGAAGTTTCGGGGTTACAGTAAGTGGCGGAAAATTTTATTCAAATACAAAATTCGAATATAAGAAAATAAACTAAACAGTTTTATCCTCAACTATAAGTATCAAAATGTACTCAACCCAAAAAGTAGACAAATGGAGCTACCTTGTTTTTGCAGTAATCTAACAATATGTTGCCGTTTTTTTTCAATACATCTGTTTGTTCCAGGGACATGTGCGAGAAGCACAAATATGCCATCCCGTGCCCACGCGACAACAGGCCGCAAAATTACCCGCTGTTCGAGGTGTTCATGATCAAATACCTCATGACCATGATCGTGGGCATCACCTCCAGCGTATGGATTTGGTCAGGGAAGACAGTGCACAGTTGGAGGGTGTTTTTCAATCGATTGCAAGGACGGCATGTTGAAGCGTATGTTTGAAATAGGGTGCGGATGATAAAGTTGTTGAGTATAGAATTAAAGGGTGTCCCAGAACTTCGGTATTTAAATTTGGTGCTATTCTTCAACGGCTTGACTTGAGGTCGCCTGACATGATAGGAAATTTCTTACAAAATAAGGGATAGTATCTGGTAGCATTCAGTGCAAATTTTTGTATGAACAAAGAACCTTGCACAAAACATACGGAAAATGGGCCGATTTGCTTAAAAATTCAGCATGGTATATTTATCGCCTTCCTGAACAAAAGTCCTCATGGGGCGAAAGCAATCCTATTATTGGTTTCTGAGAAATAGGAGGATGAAGTTTGTTCGATTTGTAGAAATGGTTAATTTGCTGATTGTAGATTTCAGACCAAATATTCATATAATTGTTATGCGGAAAGTAATATTCCATGAAAAATCTTAAAATTTGTTGGGAGCTGCCTTTATGATGACAGAGTTCATTTATTTTAGCTGGCGATGTATCCTATTAAACGAGTCTTCGACTACAAATACTGCATTTGCATTGCTCATCAATCCAACGCGCCATTAATAATACTGCGATACATCAAAGACAAGATGTTGTTGGTTGTATTGACCTTGTAAAGGTCATAATCACAGACAAGTTAACAACCATTATTTTGCCGCGCCCTTTAACATATAAAAACGGACTTTCCATTGAATTGACCTTGTAAGGAGCTTGATCCAGATCTCCTCCAATACCTTTATACAAGGTGTTGTAATGAAATATTTTCTTCGGCGTTACACTTCTCCCAGTATTTGCTTTGGTCCCATCAGAACTTTCGTTCAGGATGGCGAGACACATATCCTACTCAATTTTTAGACAAATCCAGTGGGTCCTATATTCCATATGTTTTGTGTGGAGTACAAAGTTTCGTAGAACCTGTTCTAAATAATTTGATACTAGAAGCAATACGTAAGGGAAAACCACTGAGGTGATTGTAAAACTGAAAGAAAAACATCTGTTTGAAACCTCAACGAAAAGTGTGGTTGGAATATATGTTTCTCATTGTGACAAATCATTGTTTGAAGTTGACAGAAATATACGAGTAGTTTCTTTTAACTAAGGCGCATGATATTCATACCAAATTTATTACAAAGATGTATATCTGTGACAGTCGCTGTCTCTCGCGATCATGAAAACTAACTCCGCTTGACATGTTTGGTATTTCTCAAAGATAGAACCCATTCAAACAATCCGTAGTCAAAAAATGAACTTTTGGTTCGAATAACTCGTTATAACCTCTTCATCTAAACGATAACATTGATTATCGTACCTAAAGATAGCTAACCTAATACTACATTCGCGCCCCCAAAAAATTGTCGGGTATGAAATGAGAATTCATCACAGCTGTGTTTCTCTTCCCCGCAATAATTACAAGTCTACTTTGAAAAGGTTAATGTCTCGTAGATGGTGTTGTAGCTATATGCCCATATATAGTTGGTTATAACGCCATCTATGGCACACTAACCTTTTTAAAGTAGATTCCCAATTTTTGCGGAAAGGAGTAAAAAGGGGAAGAACTGTGACAAACTCTCAAATATGACGCTACAGTATCTCATTTCGTCGGTTAGAATGATAACATCTCATAAATGTTCTCGAAGACTATTTGTCGGTAGGGCATAGGGTTTTTATAACTTTCCTCAAGATTTCGAGCTTTATGACTGCGATTTCGTTATGAATGTTGTCTTTCAAACAGGTGATTCTTCTTGGCTGATTGACATATGCGATCAAATATAGGGGAAACCCGGGCAAAGTGAATACCTTAAGCTGTTTTTGGTTATTGTAGATTAGTTATAACCGGGGAAATTAAAACAAATATTTATAAGCAGTCTTTATTTAAAGGACTAACGGAATTGTATAAGATTCTTCCTAAATATTAATTAAATTAAAAGTTATTAATCGAATTAACAAGAGTGACTAACTATCCACCTTGCCCGGGATTCCGGGTAAAGTGAATATGATACCAGGGCAAAGCGAATAGCAACATTATTTGGCTTGAAATTAAACTTACAAAGGAAATAAACCTTGAAAATCAGGAAAAAATATTTAAAATAACATGTTTCTAATTTTTGCAGTTATCGCAAACAAAATCGTCACTGCCTTCGAAGGCTGAGCACTCTTCATGGCACCATTGAGTACAAATACTACATTGTATCCAGTTTTCCGTTGGCTGATCATCTTCTTCAATGTACATTTCACCACAGAAAATGCAGCTGACATCATCAAATTTCCGTATTTTTTTCTGATTTCCATTTTCTTTTGCACTCCTCTCTTTGCTTTTTTATCAGTGATTTTAGATTTAACAGTTTTTTTATTACCAGTCTTCAGAGAAGTTTTCGTCGAAACATCATCTAATGGCTTCATAGCAGGCTTTTTTCCTTTTTCAAATTTCTGTTTCTGCTCTTCTTTTACTGGAGTACTCGTCAGTATACTAGATCTTTGTAACCTCCGTTTACGTGTTGTTGTTGGTCTAGCAGGCTGAGGAATAGGTCTCAAAACTGAAGGACTATAGTAGGTCTTAGAACATCCAGGTTCGGGTGAAGCGGCGGGAACAGTATTGCCATAGCTTTCTTTTTTAGTTTCAGATCTAATAGGAGTGCACGGTCGATCTTCAATATATATATTTACTTCGTCTTGAGACTGAAAATCACCTAAAGCAACAACTTCACCTGATGACGCAATAGGTAAAGAACTAACAGATTCTATAGTCTGTAAGGTTTCTCCTTCAATAGGGTTTATGAATGAATGAGAATGTTGAGTGGCATTTGCAAATGAAGGTGATATGGGCTGATCTTGAGGTTCAATCGAAGGTAACGCTTCAACAGCGGACTCGGGTAAATCAATGCTTTCTATTGGGGCCAAAGTTCCAGCTTGACTGTTTAAAGTGGATGTACCTGCAAGTACCTCGGCTGGTGTGAAATGCTCATCACCAAATGCGTGCTTGTTTACAGGCCAAATCCCAGGTTTTTCAAATCCATGCACTGCATTGATGGCCACGGCAGCTTTGAGATAAGCTGGTGCTAGCAATCTAGATACATCGTACTGATTAATGATGCGGCCAGGGTGAGATTTTTGGAAAATGTTAACTTCCCTTTCGAAATGCGTTTTCAGTGGGCCATACACAGCAACATCCATAGGTTGCATTTTGTTTGTAGTATGCGGTGCTAAGGATAATATTACCACGTTATTCTTGGTGGCATACTCAAGTGCAGGATAATATTTGTGGCTTTCATGGTTATCCAATATTAGTAGAACCTTTTTATCTGCTGTTGACCTCACTTGCTCTACGAAAAAATGGATCCAGTTCAAGAAGACTTCCCCTGATGTCCAGCCATTAGGAGTACACGTTGCTTGAGTCCCTGGAGGACTACCATCAAGAAGCCTTGCTTGCATCTTCTTTCTTGCAAAAATCAGGAAAGGTGGAAGAAAACTGCCAGCAGCATTACAACACCCGATGACGGTTGTCAATTGGCCGCGTTCTGCACTTGCAATCATACCCACTTGTTTTTTCCCTTTTACGGAGATAACCTTTGGAGGCCTATTTGAGGTCGTTGATATTCCGGTTTCGTCCATATTGTATAGTCTGGAGGCTTCAATGTTATTTTTCTCAATGGCAGATTCAAGATTTTCATAAAAATGGCTCACTTCGCGGCGATTAAATCCTTTCAGCCTCGCTACAGATGTTGATTCTGGAGTTCTTAGTGTCAAGTTGGTATGACGTGATAAAAACCTTTGCAGCCATTCTTCTCCAGCTTTTTTATTTTTATTCCAACTCTCAGGGTAACGCAAACTGTTGCGGTGTGCATACTCAAATGCTAGACTCATGAATTCATCCCGAGTAAGGCCAAAAAAAACTGCGTCCATATCTTGCAGGTATGTCACCAGTTCAATTTCTTGATCCTCCGTGAATGTAGGACGAAATCGACCGAGCTGTGCGGAAGCGTTTCCACTTTTGACATGTCTGTAAAGGGTAGCATACGCAAGTCCATATTTGTTGGCTGTCCCTTTAATAGATTCTCCAGCCCTACATAAATTTATTGCAGTCTGCATAACGTCTCTACTCCAAGTACCTTGCGTCGTCTTTTTTTTATATTTATTCACCATCTGTAACAGAAAAATACTTGATATAATATAAAATTGTATGAAATTATATTACACGCCATGACCGGGCAAAGTGAATACAGTATCCGCCTTGCCCGATCCGCTTTGCCCTTCGGGTACAGCTTTGAGGTTATGCCAGGTCATAAAAAAAACAGTTTATCTAAGTTCATCAACTACACATAGTTGAAAGCTCTATAACCATGCATTGAATCCCCTGCATAAACAAAAACATGCCACCAAAAACATAATAGATATAAGCGAAACACTTACCTCTGTAAATTAATATTTCTGGTACAGAAACACACTTTGTCCACTCAATGGCGGCATGCTACGCAAATTCGCGCCAAAGTGATTTCCGCGAACTAAGCGGCAACAGGCGACTCTTGATTTTGACAGCGCGGCTGCCGGCCAACGAAAAATTTGGAAGTAGTGGGGACTATTCGCTTTGCCTGGGGTATCCACTTTAGACGGGTTTCCCCTATCCAAAGGAAAATACAGGGGCGGCTAAATTCGGTGAATCGTTTCCGCCAAATAATGTGGTCCTCGAATTCACACTTGGAATAAATGCTGTAGCTGAAAAATTATAGACTTTTTTTCGAAAAATCAAGATCGAGATAGCTTAATCTCCATACTGAATGTCCGCAAGCCTTAAATTGATGTTACTGAGGTAACAGATCAGACCCGGAACTTGGAAAACAAAATCCATCCATTTCGATTCTTTGGTCAGCGGTGTATCGCATCACATCAAATTCCTCAAACATTTTCTACTAAATCCTAAAAAATGAACGGTAAATTCTGCAAAACGGACACGTCTTAAGTAATTCAAACCATAACGTTCATTTTTCCTTGTAATTTGATGTAGAAATGTTACAGGCAAAGCCCGAAGCGCGGGCAATCCTAGGAATGACTAGTCATTTCGCGAAGTGGCCAGAATATTCGGTCAAAGTCCGAAATACTCTTGAGTTCCGGACATTAACTGCGGCTCTTTTAGTCAATCCTAGGAGTGACTGACCCACCTCGTCAAAGTCCGAAACGAAGAAACGCTCTCCGGACTTTGACTAGGCAATCCTAGATGGGGCGAAAATCGGACTTGGACTAAATAATGTTAATTAAATAATAAACATTTATTAACAAAATATACTTCTCATATAGGCACACAAAATAAAAACTCTGTTGAGCGAAACATTTCAAAATGAAATGAAATACCTATCTTAAAATGTTGGATATTATTTTTAATCATTAATAAACTAAAATGTATTTTTTTAATATTAACATAAAAAAAGAAAATTGGCTGAGTTCAACAACGATACAATAGTGCAATAAAATATTAGCAGGTATATAGGTACCTACCTATACCTAAGTAAACTGAGCACACATTTATTTGTTTTGGCAATCATTAGATTTATGGCACTTAGAATTGCATAAAACTTTTGACCTTTTACATTTACACAAATTAGAAATGCATCGTTTACTGCAATCGCATTTAAGAAAACCCTGACCGCCAAATTTGGAATCTTTGCCACTAATTTCTCTTAAAGATAATTTAACATTAGGCACTTCATGAAGACTAAGCAAACGTTCCTTACATTCTTGAATTTGATTTCTGGAAAACAACGTATTAATCGTTCCATGTCTAGTACCTACTTTATAGAACCCGTCCTCAGTTTTCTCTGTTACAACACAAAGCAAATTTCGAGCATCACCTTTAGCCCTATCAACAGAAGGAATTGGTACCGTAACAGTGTTTCCCACTTCAACCGCAGGAAACTTTTGATTTGACAATTTTTTCATAGTATCCGCTTGAGCTTGAAGACCATCAATTGCCTTTTCTTTATTTGCAGACATACATTCTTTTTGCGCACACCTCGGACACGTTACTTTACTTCCAAAACCCTCTTCAGTTTCTAAAGTATTGTCTGCGCAAATCGCGTGGATAATTTGTCCACAGATGCAACAGGTATGTGCACCAGAACTTTCCTCTTGACAAACGCAGCATACATTCGTACCTGTGTGAAAGTCTTTATTAAAATTAGACGAGAAATAGGTTGTCAGGGGAAATGGAAGGTAACTTTACGCAATTCAATAATTATGTGCAGAAGATGTCACTGTTACTGCATCAATTCTTACTCCAATTTCCAATTTCCCCTATTTATGCTAATTTCAGTGTACTAATACCTACCGGTAGGTTCAGAATCTTGTTCCATTAGAACGCCTTCATTTCCTTGAAGCGTCGTTTCTAAAATAGCCCCGTCGCCGTCAGATGGGATCAGGGCATTTTCAAGATCTTCCTCAGTTCGAAGAAGCTTCTTTATTGTATCCGGGAGGGTCTGAATCCCAACATGAGCTTTTCTCCCTGCAACAAGTTAAAAATATGATTTCTTTTCTCATTCCCATAGCCCTTATTTTACATACCAAACATGACTTCAAATGGAGTTTGTTTGATTCCTGTGTGAAAAGCGTTATTTTTCTGAAGTTGGCAGAATTTCAGGCCTTCACTCCATCTGTTGGTCTTGTTGTCTTCCATCCATGCAAACAAAATTTTCTGGACTTCTTGGTTAGCCCTTTCGACGCTACCTTGACTCTCCGAATGGCGGGGTTTTCCATGTACAATAGTCAGTTGAGGCCATAAGGTTT